ATTATTTTATAAATATATATATGATTATATAAAAAGTTATATAATTTTTTTATTTTGAGTTAAAACGAGCCGAACACGAGCGAACAAAGTTTTGAGCTAAAACGAGCCGAACACGAGCGAACAAAGTGCATCGTGTTCGGCTCGTTTATAATTCTAGCTTTAAAAATTTATTCGTGTTCGGCCCGTACACTTAACGAACAAGCCGAACACGAGCTGTTCGCGAACAACGAGCTTTTTAGACTGCCCCATTCGTGGGTTTTGATCTCAAGGGACGAACTCGTCTTCCTTACACCCCTTCCTAATGTCAACCTATTGATCCATGTAAAGTCTCATTCATTCATTAGTTTCGAGCCAGCCTAGCTCTATACTATAACGATAGTCTCTTTGAAATTACGGTAAGGGGATGTTTGGGTGCACTTTGGGCTAACGATAAATAAGATTTAATAAATCCGGTGAATCTGGATTTATCGAATGAATATGCTATTTATTCAAAAGACGTGTTTGGCATTTTATTACAGTTGAGCTAGGCTATTGTTAAATTCATTAAATTTACAAAATATTCGGATTTAATAAATCTGGATTTACATCCAAAAATTAACGGAAAGGATAAGAAAATGGATTTATCAGAGCACTGGATTTAGCTTCTCGTTTCTTTCATATTTGTCTGAATTTACGTTAAATCACGCGATAAATCCTACTAAAAATATGCTACCAAACACTCCCTAAAAGTTGGAGCCATGCATGCAAGTATTCCATGAGAAATGAATTCAAGATCTTCTCTTCTATTGTTTGACCTTATTTCTAAATTCTCTTTTAGCATCCTCGTCAACATTTCTATACGATGCATCGGGGGCATTTATACAAGGAAAAATTTATTTATTTTTATTAACATTTGAATTTACATTGTAATAGATGCCCTTTTTAATCATAATCATCAAAGCCTACTACATTATATTTATCCTAATATACATTAAAAAAAAGGGAGAACTTTGCAAAAGAGGATTCAATTGCTGAATATTTTTGAGATTTTTTTTGTTTATTTCCACCAATTTGTGGATCCACAAGTCTTTTACTTACAATGTCAACAAAGTAGTGGCATTTACTTTCGCAGCACAAATTTCTTATGCATTTACATATCTCACACCTAAACTTTCACATTTACGCATATTACTCCAAATTTTAATATTATATAAAAATAGCGTTATTAACATGTTTCATGCATAGCTTTGAAACACCAAAATGTCGTGCATGTAAAAATGAAATTTTTAGGTGTGAGTATGTGAGTACATAAGAATTATGTGCTATGTATCCGTTTGGATTCGTATATGCTTCTTATACAAGCAAATATTCCCAAAAATACTGTCTTCTACCAAAATAATGGAAAGATAAATTATTGACCTCTTAATCACATCATAAGAAAGTTCACGCAAAGTTTAAGAAGTAGAGAAAAACGAATCCCTAATTAGCACACTGAAATCGAATAATTACAAAAAATAAAGAGGAGATGGAAGTAACTACATACCCGGAGTTGTGAGTGATTGCCTCACATGTGGTGGGAGTTGAAGTTGAAGACCATGAGACAATGTGGATGGTGGGAAGTATGAGCCATCCATGTCGATGTGAGGCATAGCCATGGGATTATGTCCATAAGGTAATTGACGATGAGCTGCAGCTTGTTGAGATTGCATCATGGATGGGGGAAAACCCGTCCTCGGTGATGCCATCATGTAATTCATTTGAGGATAGTTATATGGTTGATGACCGATGTTTGATGTTGCAGTCGCACCATACATCATCTGCGGATAATATTGTGACGCCATTTGAGGATTGTACATGCCCTGTCATACATACATACATACATTTACCATTAATGGTTAAAAATGTAAAAAAAAAAAAAATTACCAGTGCTATATAAATACGTGTATATAATCCGGATAATTCGATTCTCACCTAAACTTAATTTTTTATATTACATCATCAAAATCTTTCATATCTCATAAAAATGACACTTTCAATTTTTAGAAAATGAAAATTAATTTTTCTGTATTCGTAAGATGACATTTATGTAAAAGTTAAATTTTAGGTGTGAAATATATAAATACATAAGAACCGAAGGTATTTACGTAAATGCACACTTCTCTGTGTACTAATTTTGAAGGCGTGAAATAATTAACTTAAATTAGAAATATTTATTAATCTTATGTCACTAATTTAAAGCCATCTTCATGAAAAAAAAATGAGAACTTCTTCGTATAATTTTTTTTCCTTAATATTTATTAATTTGTTTTATCCGTCAAACGTGCCAATATAAGAGCTCAAAAGAGGCTAACCGGTTGATACCCATATTCAGTAGCGTACGTCATATACCTGTAAAGATAAAAATCAAGGCTGGCATATTAGTTAGATAAATATATCTTAAAAATTAAGTGAATTTAAATATGACGTGAAAGAATATTCACATGGAACTATAAATGTAACTTTAGCCGAGACCAAACCTAAACCCAAGTTAACATGGCTAAACTATAGTTTACATACCAACCTATGAATCCTATATTTGCTCTTAACAACTAATTGGACCAAAAAAATCTATGGGGGATTTACATACATTGCACTGGAAACATCGAAATTAATATATTTAGAGCCCAAAGATTAGAAGCAAATGTTTGTTGTACACTCATTTGAGTATCAGAAGATATAAGGTAGCAATAAATGCTTACAAGACGCTTCAGTTATATATATATATATATATATATATGAATAGAGGAGAGAGGGAGAGGGAGAGATGAGAGAGAGAGAGAGAGAGAGAGAGAGCTAAGTTTAGAATTGAATAGGCAATGATTGGGGTGTATGTAAATATGTAATAGCCTAATGTTGAATCTCAATATGCTTTTAGTTCGATATTAGTAATTTGACCCAAATCTAAATTTTCATGGGTCAAGATTGTCCAAAGTCATGGGACCGAAAGGACAACATGGTCCAGAGCATTAACGTGTTTGAGCAATGGACCATCGACTTATAGATGGATGATATCATTTAATTTAACTGTATAATAGGCCAATAAGTAGGCCCATTTCAGACTTACCCATATGGCGAGGGGTAAAAAACTTGAGGAGCTGGAGGCACTTGAGTTGGCATTCTAGTGTATGGTGGGCCCATTGACTGAGGTGGGCCCTGATACATGCTCCCGCTTGCTTGGGCCCGTCCTGTTCAACAATATCAAACTGATTAATGAACAACCATCGATTTTTGTTACAAGTGGACACAAATAAGTAGTGCGTGCTATACATAAAGTATTAGGGCAATCAGTAAAAAATTCTAATATTTTTGATATAGAAAAGAAATATGCTATAGTATTGTGATTATTATTCAAGGATTGTAAAGTATATCATCATTAAATTTTTTAAAGTCAAATTATTAAATTTACGAGGGATTTGTATGCATGCCACCCAATTCTTATTATATTCCAAATTTAAAATCCTAAACTTTAACATCACATACATACAACCAGCATACACATGACTGCAACATAAAATAAAATAAAAAAAACTTTTGAAACTCTCTTCTTTCTCCTGCTTAGCTTGGAGAAAATATTAAGTCAGAGATCCGGATGTATCCACAGTCCTGTAGAGAGCGACACATATAAAGTGGACCAATTATAATGTACTGTGACTTGTGGGGTCCACTTTACACGTGACGCCTCTTTATTGGACTAATATTTTCTCCTTAGCTTGAACCTGACAAATTCGTCTACACTTTCTGACTTTATAGTCATTTACCGGATCTAAAATTCATTTTTTTTTCAAAATATTAAAAACTGATAATAACAACTGCAAGTGGGTTCATATTTTCTCAAAAAAAAAACTACAGGTTTTTATAAATCATAGCTCTTTTAATGATTTTGAGAAAAGAGGAATTGAACATCAGATAAAAAAAACAGGGAAAATTAAATATTAATAAATACTGAACAAAACAAAAAATAAAAAGTCATATCTCCTGGCATGAAGAATTCGTACAGCCAGGTAGGGAATGGTTGAGCCGGCCGACCGGAGTTGGGTCAAGAACCGAGCCGAATAAATCGGCGCCGCAGCGAACACATGGTGGGGGTTCTTATCCGGTGAGCTGTCTCAGCAGATGTTTATCTTAAACTAAACAATGGAGGTGGGGCCCATTTTCCTCCAATGGGCTGGGGATGGGCCGGACATATACCGTAATTTGGATAAGAACTCCAGCAACTAACTAGTTACCTAACTAATTAGGAAGATTCACACAAAAACCATTAAATTCTTATATATTTACATAAATACCATGAAAATGTCAAATTTTAGGTGCACATCATCTTTATCTATGCATAAAAAATTATATTTAATTTTTTTTAATTAACATAATAGTATTTTCAATGTAATATGAAAGATTTATGTGATATAAATAAAAAAATAAAATTAGGTAAAGGATGGGAGCAACTTTATTTTTTATGGAGGATAAAATATTTGAATTATTAAAATTTTCATTTCAAGTGTCAAGAAAAAATTGCGTACGTATGCAGAGCTCGGAGGTTATCCAGAGGGTATTGAGGAGTTATAGGTAAGTTACTGAATGACCTCCTACATAAGCAACTCTGCGTATAAACAAATTTTTCCTTGAAGTATCAGGCAAAAAAAATCAAGCGAAGATGAGGAAATTGCTAAATTATCTAAATTGCATAAAAATCTTATTAAATTTTATAATTTAAATAGAAAATTATCGAATTTTAGAGTCAACAGTTGCTAATTCTGGACAAATTGGCTCTGCTTCTGAATTAGTAGTTAGATAAGCAAATTGAGCGGCATGTATGTAAATGCCCCAATACTTATATTAATTATCTCCATATTTGTAGAAAGATATTTTTGCCCATAATTTTCTTTTACCCATAATTAGAAATAATGACAAATGATAATTTTGCAGACTTTAATTTAGGAAAATACCCAATTCTCATATAATTTATAAGATAAATTATGAACAAAAAAAAATTATTGTGTAAATAATAATACAATTTATATCATATTGAAAGCATGTGAAGATCATAGCCCACTGATTTCACCACTGCTGATGACGGCAGAATATGTCGGTATAGTTTGTTAATCATCGTTTAATAATTAATTTAATTAATTTAATCATGATTAAGTTTTAGCGGTATATTACCTCGCGGAGGAGAAGGGCGGGGCCGGCCCAGCGCGGCAATGTTGCAGTTGGCCCTCCTCCCGTCGATTATCGGGTTTGGATCCGCAACTGACCGTCTCGCGGATTCCGGGTCACGAAACGTCACCTGCCCACAGGATAAGCCAACTTGTATTAATAAATTAATTTAATAATATACTATTATTTCCAACACATTCTAAAGAAAAATAAATGAAATACATAAAATAAAAAAAATGCCAAGACCAAGTAAAGATAAAAGAGGGAGATTAAATTTTCAACCAAATCCAACCATAAATGTGT